GCAGCTCTGCATTATATAAAAGCAAACACAATCTAAAATAATATTCGTTTTTATAATATGATTCTGTAGGAGAGATGAAACTTCTGATCTACAAATACATTTAGATACCCACAATTAACCCAAACCATTCCAGTCTTGCAAATATCTCTTTCGTACGCAAAAGCCCTTACCTTCAATGTAGAATACGTGTAAGGATAGTGGTAAGCAAAATAGCAGACATCATCTCTATGTGGGAAAACCACAGTGAATGTCATGGTGTAGTATGACTTTCCCTTCTGACCTCCTGTAGCTATTGAACTTCTGGAGAAATTATTTCTGGGAAAGAAAATAACATTAATATATTGTTAAATGGTATCTGGCAATTCATTATGGAAAAAAACAAACAAAGCTGTCATATGACCTAAGTTTTTAACAGTTATTTCTCATATGTACCTGCCAGCTCTAGGCTCTCTCCAGCTGGGAGTATCCAAGACTCTCTCAAAGGGTAATGGTCAGGCAAAACCAGCCAATCAGTGGCTTTGCCTTATAAAAAATCCCATCTTTTCACAGAGACCATGCACCCCACTGCTACAAACTGTGCTCAGCTGAAGCTCCCTCATAAGGCATTTATTTAGCACATTGCTTACATAAATACCACATTTTTTTATGTAAAAGAAAGCCTCAGTTTTAACTCCTTTATATTGTAATCTGATAATATCAGCATTAAAACTATGGCACTACAGATGAGCCCTGCAGCCTGGTGGCAGTGTACATCTGCAAACTGAGGCCTTTCTGTCAAGGAAGCCTGCAGTGTACATACGATCACCATGTCATGCGGACTGATTCCCTGATCATCAGTGGGGACTAACTGTTGGCTGATGGCTTTTAAAGGGGAAAACATTTATATCCAAAAAGTGAAGGGGTAAAGACAAGAAAGGATTAACAAGAATCAGTGAACTGCTAAAACAAGCCACTAAACACCGCTGTTATGTTCCAGGAGGTCCACTCAACATATCTTCATCAAACATTTCAACATGCTATTAGTAGGTCTGCAGCCTCTTGCCTAATCTTTCCCCTGCATTATCCCTCTCTAAGTAGTAAAGGCACTTGAATTATTTAGCTATGCATGTTCAACAACATAATAAGACCACATAATAATACACACTATAGAAACTATGAACCCTGACAAGCATAATCACAGGCTAAGAATTAGGTGTTCCCAGAACACTTGTTGACAGCAACCAGATACATTTACACAGTGAAGTGCTGTAATCAAAAAATGCCAATATGAAAAATATGATGCTGGAGGGTTATATTATGGGTCCGGTATTTATTTATAAGCTAGCATTAACCCTTTCGCTGCCAAGCCCTCCGGACCATTTTGCACCTCAGCTGGCCACGCCATTTTTGCAATTTTTCCCTTTGATTTGATTTTCAATTGCTGTGTTGCTAGCGTTTGGAAAAAGACCCCCCCTCCCAAACCATATATTTTCTGAAAGCACAGACCCGGTAGAATAAAAAGATGGTGCTACTAAATTTGTAGGCCATGCGATAATTGCGCAAATGTTTCTCAAATTAATATTATACAGATATAAATACACAATTCAATTGATAAAGCACACTAAAATCAGTATACAAAAAAATATATTTTCTGACTAAATCTAAAAGATAAAACTGTATTGAGTTAATAATTAACAAATATGTGCAAATTTAAAAATTGCGAAAAGGTAAAAAAATGAAGGTACGCAAAACTATAAATAAGCGACTTATGTTAAAAATCCTTTTTGTGCTGTATTGGTGTTTGCAATATGGTGCATGTGCATGTTATTTACGGTTAAATATCTGGGGTCTAAACTGACCCCTGACATTTCCCCTTTTGAAATAGAAAAATAAGTCCTCAATTTCTTTTTCTGCAGTCTCAGGACTCAATGAATGGGAAGCACACAGTATAGAGGATTCCCATTCATTCAGAAACTGGTGATAGTAAAATATTTACTATCACCAGTTTCTGAATGGGGAAAAGCCTCTGTAGTGAGTGCTTCTCCTCATTGAGAAAATCATGAATGAACAGGAAGTGATGTAAATCACATCCTGTTCATTCATAACTGGGGACACATAGTGCTATGTGTCCCCAGTTATTTACAAACACTGGAGTCATCAGACGATCACTCCAGTGTTTGCTCTGCACAGAGGATCGGTAAATATCACTGATATTTACCGATCCTCCGCTCAGCCACGCACACAGCCGATGTCATCCTGAAACTGACAGGATGACAGCGGCTCCACTCTCCTCACCACTCGGCCATCCTGGTTCCTCTGCTTCCCCCCCCCAACATTTTTTTTCGGCTCCCCGCTGCCTCAGCCCCTACAAGCAGGGGAGAGCTGCGAGGATCCATGCAGACACAGATCCGTCTCCAGGCATGGGCGAGAGATCGTCTCCAGGCATGGACGAGAGGCTCCAGATGCCGGCAGGGCTGCCCGGTATTTTTGTTAATAGCGGTAATCAGCGGCTTGTCAGCTATTCATTTAAAGGGGACAGTCCGGGGAACAGTTCTACTATAAATTCATGGTCGCTAAAGCGACCATGAGCTTATAGCAGAACTGTAAATGCCACCTCCATACAGCATACTGACCTGGCCAGCTGGGAACAGTTTTGTTCCGCCTTATGGCAGTGGCAGGGAAAGGGTTAAAGTCTGACTGAACTGTGTCTTTTAAGGATAAGTTACAAGTTACCATTTAGCTAAAAAAAAAGACCACTCGCTCTTGGAAAGGATTGGTTTCGATGCTTATGGCACTCATTAAATTGGGAGTAGGTGCCAAGCTAAAAACAAGTGACTAGCCCTTATACTTTCTAATGCACCAATTCAGACAGAAACTATAAACCCTGGAACTAAAAACACCCCTTTGCACCAGGTAATTAAAAAAAAAATCATCAGAACCTGATGAGACTGGGTCGGGAATTACTCAACGTGTTCATATAGTGAGAAAAAAACAGCACAACGCAATACACATGTGCTTTTAGTACAGTTACCATTACTTTTCACATAACAAGCCTAGACTGTTACACTTACTTGTAATAACAAATGTCTGTCCCAACACGAACCCACCAAGGCCTGGAAATCAATGCGTCCTGCACAGAATACATGAGTGGCTGCATGCCTTGTGGATAAAACAAACAGAGATAATACAATCTTTACCATCATGTCTAAATATGATTTAGTAATAATAGTAATAATAGTGACAGTCCACATAGTTACATGTTGATAGACAGACAAATGACAGATGCAATCCGACTGGTCAATATGGAAGACCGATACATTTCAGTCTTTTTTTTTTTGTCTCTTACAGCAGACAATTTTTGAGACTTTTAACTTTTGTTCATACCTACTTTCAAGCAAATTAGACATTTGCAAATGGCTGACTCAATCACAATTCCACTCTTTATAGATATGGCTCGCTTTCCTTTAAAAGGTATATAGACAAGCATGCATTGAGGCCTCGTTCACACTAGATGCAGTGTGTTCCGGCCCGATTCTGGCTGGAATGCACTGCATCACATTGCAGCCGGCTCACTTTTTTGTGGGGCAGGAAGGGGGCGTGACGGGCCATTGAAGTGAATTGCACCATAGCCACGCCCTCCAGCAGCAATGCGATCGCCCGCACGGGATCGGAAGGGTCCGGACGAGACCGCAGGCACAATGTGCCTTGCGATCCCATGCCGGCGATCGCATTGCGGCTGGAGGGTGTGGCTACGGTGACATTCACTTCAATGGCCCGCCACGCCCCCTCCTGCCCCACAATGCCAGAATCGGGCCGGAATGCACTGCATCTAGTGTGAACAAGGCCAAAGACCAATTCAACTTTCAGTTCAAATCAGCTAAATACATTCCAGGTGCATCAAAACAGTGTCTAGCCCCTGCCAACAGCTGCAGTGTGGATTCTCCATGGGAAAGTAGTGGTCTCATTGCAAAGGTCCGACATGCCTCCTACAGAGTCAGACCTATATAGTCAGAGTCAGACCTTATAAAATAAGAGGTCAAATGTACAGACCCTATCTGACAATAAATCTCACCGTAATTAAACTGGCTGTTGGATTTCTCACAATTAATTATGTTAAAGCGATAAGCAGTTCCAGTCTTCATGCCACTAACTTCAAAGTAAAACCACTGGTGGTAATGATTGCTGTTTATATCGGAGTTCAAGATGAGATCATATTCATTTCTAGAAAATAAATCACAGTACACCTCTCGTTATGTTGAACGGTTCTTTTTTTTTCCACAGCAAGAAAAAAGGACTCTCTCACTTTCTTATCTGAAGGACCTTCCGCAGATTCCCAGACTCAAATTTGGAATTGAACTTGAGGACATCACTCTCATCTGGAATGGGGCAGCTGCAAAGAATTAGAGGAAAGGAGAGCATCAACGGGGAAGCACGGAGATGGCAAAACAAAGCTGTCAAATTCTCATCTGGATGAGAAAAAAAATATGCTCTATAATATGAAGTATCATACAGAAACAAACAG